CGGCCGGCAGGTCCGAAAGCCCCCCCCCCCAGCGGCGGCGGCGGACCCGTTCCCGAGGTAGACTTCCTGGCTGACCTCCTTGGCCAGAGGGTCCTGGCCTGGCACCCAGCTCTCCTGCGTGGCCGGCGGTGAGACGTGGGCGGCCCTCCATCCTCTCCAGCTGTAGTTTGTGCATCATTATTACAGTTGGGGACCCAGCGCGTGGGTAACCCCTGCCGCTGCTTCTCCTCCTACCCCCTCCTAATTCCAGTTGGGTGTGTTTTTTTCCCCCCAACTCTCCGCAAAATCTTCACTATTTCCCATTTAAAAGAACAGAAGCCCGCAATGGTTATAGCTGTTGTTATTTTATTACTCTCCCCCAGGAGCTCCAGGAGAGACTTCATCTTGCATCCTGATGCTAGTTTGGACCCCAGGCTTCCTGCTTTGTGCCTTTTCCCGTCTCCCTGAAAGCTGGAGGGTGGGGGTGGAGGTCGTAGCCATGCTGCCCGGTGGGGAGCAGTTGAAGAGACTGGGGCTCCCCATTCATGACCTGGAGATCTTGGGCTGACCCTAGGCTCCAGAGCACAAGGGCTCCCCAGAAGAAAGCAGCTACTCCCTCAAAGGAGGGTGGCCATATAAGGAGTTGATAAATAGGACCTGCAAGGCTTTGCCCATATCCTGGGTCTGTGATCCTTAACAAAGACTATTTGTGAAGGGATCTTGTCCTACCTTCTCCAGCCAGGGATGGGGAGATATCTGGGCGGGCCGTGGCTGTGGCTGTCCAGTCCCGGCCCCTCCCTTCACCTCTGGCCCAGGACACTCCTCCCCTGGGAATTTTGCCAGCTTCCAGGAATGCTGGGGGCGTTCAGGGCAGCCTGCCCAGCCTGATACTCACTGTCCTTGCAGATGGGGTTGGCGAGGACCTGGCACGCAGCTGTGTAGTACCTGGAGTCAGCAGCACCTACCGAAGGATCCCGGACGCTGTTCAAGGTTGCTCCCTGGACTCCTGGAAAGGGGATGGCCAGCTGAGAGGTGTCAGGAGGCAGGAGCCACTTCTCAAACTGGCTTCTCGGGACTCTGGAGTGGAGATGGTGGTTGGGGACAGCCCCCTGGCCACCTCACCAGGTCTTCCTCAGGACTCTCTGGACTTTGAGCCCACAGGGAGCCCTGATCCCCGGGCCCTTGCTGCCATGGAGCCTCCTGCCCACCTGAGCCGGCTCCTGGCCAACCGTAAGCTGGAGCAGGTGCTGGAGCGGTCCCGCCAGCTCCCGACTTCCCCTGTCGGCATGTCACAACACCACTACTCCCTGAAGCCACCTATCAAGCCTGAATGTGAAATGCCCCCTTTTGGAGCAGGGGAACAGGAGGCCACTGAGGCAGAAACTGACCTAGAGGCAGGTCTGGAAGGAGCAGAGGTGGTGAGTGTCAACTCTCAGGCTGGGTGAAGAGTGCAGTGGAAACGGTCTTTTTACACGGAGGGGTGGGTTGCTGGCTGGTGGGTCCTCCCTGACTTCTCCTTGGAGCTCTCTTGGGGTGGGGCATTCCTTGCCTCTAATTGATGGGTTGTGTCTCGGCTTGTTCCCTCAGCCCACTCCCAGCTGTGTGGAGGTGAGCAGTATGGGGGACGGCCTGGCAGCATGCCTGGCCGGGCACTGGGAAGCCAGCTAGGGGTGTGTGCCTCCTCTCCCTGGCCCCTCTGTTCCCATCTGCTGACTGCCTAGGATGGGAGTCTGGTTGAGTTCAGAAGTCTTCCTTACCTCACTCTGTCCCACAGGTGGGGGGCCTGGGGCCTAAGGCCTGGGCCTGTCTCCCAGGGCAGGGTCTCCGCTATCTGGAACACCTGTGCCTAGTGCTGGAGCAAATGGCAAGGCTCCAGCAGCTCTACTTGCAGCTGCAGACCCAGAGGCCCCCAGGGGCGAGCGAGCTGCAGGTCGGGCAGGTGAGTGGGGGAGGCAGAGGAGGGCTGGGAGCCCTGCGAGCAGGACTGCCTTCAGAACAGGCTCAGCCATCTAGTCAGGTCTTGAGTACCCGTCTCTCCTGTGTACAGGATCCTGAAGCGGTGGAGGGGGAGTGGGGGGAGCAGCAGCAGCGGCCACCGCCACCAGCCCTGGACCCTTCGCCTCCACCTTCTTGTGCCCCAGGCGGTGAGGTACAGGAACTGCTCAGCCAGACCCAGGAGACAGGTGAGCTCCAATTGTGTTTCCCTGTGTGTCTTGCCAACCCAGGGCCCCCCACCCCAGACCTCCTCAGTCCTGGTTTCGATGGGTGGCTTCCTGTTTCTGGCCCTGGGTAATGGGATTTTCTTTCTGAAGGGGCCAACACAGCTTCACCCCTAAAGGTAGGGGTTCCCGGTGCCAACCCTCCCAGGCTTTTAGAGGCTTCAGCAGAGCCAGCTCATATCTTTCCATCCTCCCAGGGACACAAGGTAGGTGATGGGTATGTGTGGAGGCAGGTGATACAGGATGGAGTCGGGGGTAGGGGGTGGTTGGGTTTGTAGATACCCTGAAGGCCAGAAACTCTGGGAAAATGACAGAATTCCTGATTGGAGCAGTCCTGGCTGTGGCGACTGCTATCTCTGGGAGCTCAGGCAGGGGTATGTTGTGGGGAGGAACTCTGTGGTGATCCCCTCACGCTCTGCTCAGCGGGATCTCTCCCACTGGAACAAGGTCAAGGTCCTGCTCAACCGGATCCGTTGGAGAAGCTCGAAACACTCTGAGTCCTCTGCCCCTCCTGATGGCCCTGCCCCAAGGTGAGTCCTGCGGCCCAGCCCAGGTTAGGGCAAAGGAAGGAGCCGATGAAGCCAGAAGCTGAGACTGTAGTGCCAGTTGTGGGTTTTTTTTGTTTTTTTTTTGTTTTTTTTTTTTTTGTCCCTTTGAAATCTGAGAGGTGTAGACAGTCTTGGCGAGGGTGGTGGAAGAAACAAAGTAGTTAAAGTGTCCCATTTACAGATGAAGAGGATGGGGACTGGGCTGGGGAAGGAAGTCGCTTTCTGAATCTACATGCATGCAAGTCAGTGACAGAGCCAGGACCAGCATATGGGGAGTCTCCCTCATGCAAGCCCAGCAAAAGCCTTCACCCCTCACAGCTGAACCTTAGGCCAGCTCCCGGATTTGCTGGGAGAGCAAGGTTGGGACACAGAGGATCCCACAGGAGATGATGGGGGATAATGCTGAATAATTCTGTGGCGATAAGAAGCACTACGTCAACATCCCCAGGCTCCCCACGGCAGATAAGCAATGCTCCATCAACTCTGGGGCCATTGTTACCTTGTTTCCTCCTCCTAGCCTAATGCTTCCTTTCCTTTTTCACAGGATTGAGTCAAGAGGTGTCCCTGAAAGACCTCCATTCCAGCCCCTCCGGAAGACCTTTATGCCATCATTTGTGGTTAAGAAGCAACGAGCCAAAAACCTTTCTGTATGCTGAGAATTCCTGGCGCAGGGACATGACCTTGGGTGGAGGGGTGTGCAGTGCAGTCATCTTCCTCGCCCTTTGCCCTGTTACTGTTTCTGGGCACTGCCAGGAAAAGCTGCTGATGCTCACCCTTCTCTCTGAGGAGAAGGCTGGACCTTTCTCCTCTGGGCAGCCTGGCAGAGGAGCCCTGGTTCCCTGAGTGGCCCCAGGGTGTGGCAGCCCCTGGGCGCCTTGCTGGTTGCCAGAAATCCCTGGGCCTAGACAATGTGAACTAACTTATTTATCAGGAGTCCATGGAGCATGTTTGGCCTGGTGATCTATTGGGGCCTAGCATGTCGCAGATGTGTATTTATGCAAAGTGATACGTGTATCTCTGCAAGTCTGTCACTGTTGTGAACTGGCTGGATCCAACCATGTCTTCTGAATCATGCATTCAAAGGGTTGGTCTGGGTGAGGTAAAGGATGGCCACCTTCATTCCTCAGTGGGCAGTTACTGATTTGGAATCTTGCTTTCCTCCTCACACCCTCGTGGGCAGCCCTAAGACAGAGAAGGGTGCTATCTTGGGTTCCTCTGCATTGAGTCTTGCCTGTGGAGCAGAGTCCCTGAAGACTGAACCTGGAATAGAAAGGTCAGGGACAACATGGAGAATAGCAGAGTAATCTTCAAGGTCTGCCTTTAGCTGCTTTGGTCCCTAATAACCTTAACACATCAGAGTTGAAACCAGAGACTCATTCTAGCTTTTGACTCTAGACTCATAGCTTCCTACTTAATCTTCCAAATGGTCTAATGATACCTGCCCTGCCTACCTCACAGTCTTATTAATGAAGATAAAACGAGATGAAACTGTCTCAGAGTGCTTTGTGAACAGGAAGGGGGAGGGTATGGGTGTTGGAAGAAGGCCAAGCTGGAGGGATGATGGGAAGGCCAGAGGATAAGGGAGGACTGGGGTTGCTAATGGAGACTAAAACGGCCAGTGATTAGCAGCAAGACTTAGAGCAGGTCACTTTACTGAAGTCTCAGGTTTCCTGGGAATTAGGGCACTAATTCCTGACCTAATCTTCCAGCCTTGGGAGGACTAAAGGAAATATTTCCTTTTTTTTTTTTTTTTTTTTAAAAGAAACTCTCTGAGAGAGTGCAAGAGTGCACGTGCACGCAGGGTGAGGGGCAGAGAAAGAGAGAGAGGAGAGAGAGAATCCCAAGCAGAGCCTGACGTGGGGCTCCAGCCCACAAACCATGAAACCATGACCTGATCAAGAGTCGGATGCTTAACTGACTGAGACACCCAGGCACTCCTAAAGGAAATCTTTCTGAGAACATTATAAATGTCTACCAAAATGTTGTGGTAGTTTATTTACTACAGTCTGGCAGGTTCCTATATGTTTGCTAATTGAGAAAGGGCAAAAGTTTAGTCTCCTGTAGATATTCAGAGGGCAGGAGAGGAGGGTGTGTGTGTGTGTGTGTTATCAATGGAAGGACAGGGCTAGGGAAGGACAGGGATAAGGTCACTGGCTTAAACCTGGCGTCTCCTAGAAATGACACTGATCAGGCACTCTCCTCCTTTACTCATGAGGGGCTGGTTCTCTGGCGGCTGCAGCCCTGGGGTCTGCCAGAATGAGGCCAGATGTGGGGTGGTAGGTGCTCTCTTCCACTTGGGGGTCCAGCTCCTGCTGTCTTTGGACAAGGAACCAATGCTCTAAAGCCTGCTTTTCTAATGGGACACTTAAGCGAGGACACCGCGGAGGCCCAGCTTCCTCACGCGCATCCGATCGGGGAAAGTGCAGTTCCGTTCCACAGTTGGAGCGGGATGGCAGGCCGGCGTGGGGGAAGGGAGAAGTCGGTGGAGAGGAGGGAGGGACCATATCCGGGAGAGTGGTAGCTTCCGACCAGTGGTCGCGCTTCCGGAGAGGCGCTTCCGGTGGTGGCGGCAGCAGCGGCTGTGGTGGTTCCGGGTGTCTTTGTCCCCCCGGTGTCGCGGCCCTGGCCCGCAGGTGGGTTGGGGGGGCCCCCTTCGCCCCTCTGCCCCTTCGCCCCTCCCCCGGCCGAGGGGCTGCGAGGGCCGGGCAGCAAAGATGCACGGGGCGCGGAAGGGGCCGAGCCCCCCTTCGGACTGCAAGTCCCGTCTCCCTGGCAACGGCCTCGGCCCTGGGGGCGGGCGGGAGGAGGAGAAACCGCGCGCCTTCGTCCTCCCACGGTGGCCCCGCCGCGGCCCGGCCCGGGAGGCCCGGTGCCGGCGGCTGCTGAGGCGGGAGCGGAGGCCCAGGGAGCACGGGAGCAGGAGCGCGGGCGGGCGCGCTGCCGGATTCGCGTTCGGCCGAGCCATAGGGCTACCTTCCTACCAGCCCGTCCGGGGAACAACGGGCCGGGCTTCCGGGGAGAGGGCCCACACCTTCTCTCCAGCACCAGCCTCCTCCATTTTTCCGGGCCTTGCGTGGAGCATTTTGGCGGATGTATTTGAATGAATGAATGTCACTGGGGCTCTTTCCAATCCCCCCACTCTCCCCAAGCATCTGCGGGTGGTGTGGCATAGTGAGAGGAGCGTTAAGTTGTTGGTGACCTGGGTGCGAGTCTCAGTTTTGTCACCAACTGGTTCTGTGTGGCCCTGGGCAAGTCTCTTAATCTCTTTGAGCTTCAGTTTCCTTTTCTTTCAGATAGCTTGACAGTATCACCCACCACTAAGTTATTGTGAAGGCAAACTGGAACAATGTAATTTTTTCATTTCCTGCCCATCTTTATGTTCTCTCCATCTCCATTCATTTTCAGTACCCACCTCACCTTTATTAAGATCTCAGTTACTTTTGTGGCGGGCGGGGGGAGGGCTCGGTGGAAAATTTCCCTCTAAGCTGTTAACACTGCTTTTTCAATTAAAGGTTTTTTCTAAGACTCTGAAAGAGGACAGCATTCCCAATGTCCCAGTTTAAGCGCCAGCGGATCAACCCGCTTCCAGGGGGACGCAACTTCTCAGGTGATCACCTTTATTCCTGCTCGGCTTCAAACTGGGTAGTAGTTCGTGCTTTGGAGATAGTCTTTTAAAATGTGGCTTTTGGGGTTTCCTTGGTAGAGTGTGATTGGTTGCCAGCGTTTCATAGGAAACTAGGAGATGAGCTCAGTGGTGGCCAGTGAAACCCTGTGGAGGAGTTGGTTAGAGCCACTTTGCTCTTTGGGCCTCCCGTATCTTTGAGCTGACTCCAGTGCTCAAAATGGTAGGCGCACTTCCTGGAGGTTGCTTCTCTGTCCACATAGGCGCAGCTTCAACATCTCTTCTGGGTCCTCCTCCTGGTTTGCTCACTCCTCCTGTGGCCACAGACCTGTCCCAAAATGCCAGGCACCTTCAGGTAGGTTGGGCATTTTTTCTAGTGAGTTTCAACACTCAAGACTACTACAGCATGCATGGGTGCCTGGTGCTTTCATTCTTGCATTGCTATGTTCGTCCTTCCTGACACTCCCGGCCTGAGCCAGGATGGAGGTGACTAGACACCTCTGACTGGGGAGTTCGAAGTCCTGGCTCTAGGGAGATCTTTAGGCTGCTTCTGGGAATTAGAAAACTGGAAATCCTAGAAGCAGCTGGTGACCTTAGAATCAGCGTGATCTCCCTCCATTCCTCCACAGTAGATTATAACTATTGCACACGCGTGCCTCCTTCATGTGAACCTTGATGCAATACTCTGCTGAGCCCGGTGCGGTTTGGCTGGAGAGGAGATGCTAATGGCAGAGTTTGGACAGATGCTCTCTATGACTTTCAAACTGCACTATTCTCTTACAGGGTGGGGAGAAGCAGCGGGTCTTCACTGGCATTGTTACCAGCTTGCATGACTACTTTGGGGTGGTGGATGAAGAGGTCTTTTTTCAGCTAAGGTAGGCTTGAGGTTAGTCCCCTTCTGGAAATGCTTATTCAGTTCAGTTCTGTCACCATGCTGGTGGGACCCCTCTGAAGCCATTGCTTTGCTGTTTTTATGCAAGGTGTGAGAAGTCTTGATGGGAAGGGCCTCATAGGGGCAGTCAAGGTGGCTTGGCCAGGGTCTCTCTCCTGACTGGGTCTCCTGGCTTGTGTGCTGGCAGTGTGGTGAAGGGCCGGCTGCCCCAGCTGGGTGAGAAGGTGCTGGTGAAGGCTGCATACAACCCAGGCCAGGCAGTGCCCTGGAATGCTGTCAAGGTGCAAACGCTCTCCAACCAGGTATCCATCTTTCCTCGGCATGTGCGTTGGAAAGGGGAGGGAGGGAAGCCCCTGTGCCCTGAAAGCTGGGCGAGAACCTTACTTTTGTCAAGAGGTGGGGCTGCATCTTTCCAAGGTGGTGAGCAGATCAACCATGGGATGCCCTGACTTTCCTGGTTATTGTTCTGCAGCCCCTGCTGAAATCCCCAGCACCTCCCCTTCTACATGTGGCAGCCCTGGGCCAGAAGCAAGGGATTCTGGGAGCTCAGCCCCAGCTGATCTTCCAGCCTCACCGGATTCCCCCGCTCTTTCCTCAGAAGCGTGCGTACCAGTGGCGTGGATGTTGGGATTTGGCTTTATAGGGTACTCTGGTTGAATGGGCCTGTAACTCTCAGGTTTGCTCTCAGAATGGAAGTGGGTACTTCTGTCACTGGAAGAAAGGGACAGGGAAGTTGGGCAGATATTTAGGGTTTTTGAGTCACCAACCATTTCTTCTCTGCAGCTCTGAGTCTCTTCCAAACATCCCACACACTTCATCTGAGCCACCTGAACAGATTTCCTGCTCGGGGCCCTCATGGACGATTGGATCAGGGCCGAAGGTAAGAGAATGATTAAGCAGGGAAGATATTTTATTTGCCCCTAGGAACAGTGTCTCTTTCTTTGCCACCTGTTGACGCTAACATTCTCTTTCTGCAGCTAAGATTTCTCTTTCTAGCTAGGCCCTTTACCCTGAAACAGGCTGATGCATTGAGATGTATATGCAAATATTAGAACTATATAAACTGGTTCAGCAAGCAGGGATTTGATGTAGTTCAGCTTTCAAAATACCATATTGAATTTTTAAAATACATAATTTTCTCTTTTATTTTTAGTCCTTAAGATTGAGGTGTCAAAAAATCAAAACTATCAAGAAAATGATAATTGTCCAAAAAACATAACATCATAGTGTAGGTTTTATTTGCTGATATAAAATGTGTTTGTTTATATATGCTACACATCAGTGTAGTGTTAGAATGTGTATGTTGCACTCTGCCCTCAAGCCCAGGCCTGTGCCTTGAACATGCAGATAGATTCATGGCCCCTCTGCAGCCGGCATAGTGACTCTGGGACTTTGGAGGTGTCCTAGGCCATCTTCTGTCATCCGTGAGCTACAGGGACTGCGAGAGCATGCTGCCTATTCCCTCTAGCTCCTGTGTCCTTATCCCGCCTTACTCTCTCTCTAAAAGGTTTCGCTTTTATCCTTAAGAGTTAAGCTCTGGACTGGTTTGCTTAAGACTGGTTTTAGTTCTTCTGTTGGTCCTCATTTTAATTTTTTATTATGGAAAATTGTAAATATAGGTAAAACAAACGAAAAGATGGTGAACCCTCATATACCCACCATCCAGCCTCAACAAGTATCAATATTTTCCATTCTTTTTCATCTGTATGTCCATCTATTCCCTGCCTTCTACCTTTTTTTAATTAAAAAAATGTTTTATGGCAAATTTTATATAGGTTGAAATGCACAAATCTCAACCAGTTTTGACAAATGGGAAATCCCATGTAACCCTCACCCCAGTTAAGATATAAAACATTTCCGTCACTCCAGAAAGGTCTCTCATATTCAGGTTCTTTTTAGAAATGAGAACTCTACTGATGAGGAAGATCTCCAGATGCCAGTAGATTATTACATGACGAGGGCTGAGAATGAACTCCAATGTGAACTCTTAAAAGGAGCGTGGAATAACTCAGGGAAAAAGTTTAGGCAGAGGGCATAGTCTGCTGAAGCTAGTGGTGGTTCCCTTGGGCTAGGTCATTATGATTTCTAACTAGGAGGAGGAGGATGGTTCTCTCATAGATCTAGGATTGTTCTCCACCATGTCCCCACTACATGAAACACTTTGTCCTGTTCTCAAGTGACTGGTATATATTTTGCATACACCTGCACCCCTTCCTTGTCCCTGTGCATTTTCCTGGTCTTCAGTTTCCAAGGAGTTTCTACCTGTCACATTCTGTGAGTTTATTAAAGCCTTTATTACCAAATCCCAGCAAGTGCCCTCAGGGATAATGTAGCTTGGGTGGAAATCAATGGCTGCTATTGACTTTTTGCTTTAGGTTCAAATTCAGTCTTTCTGTACAGTCATATGCATTTGATTGTCCTGGACATGCTAAGCCCTGTGTAAGGCCTGTTGGTATTACTTTTGCCATAATGCTTCTGTGTTATGGTTTCTAGAGAAAGGAGACATTACCACTGGCAGGGAGATACACCATTAGTCAGTGCAGAGAATTTGCAAAGTAGGAAAGGGGGCAGTGGGAGTTCGGTCACTCTGGGACAACAGCAGTTTACAAAGGAGTCAGGCTGTGTTAGCATTTTGGCTGGAAGCCAAGTTTTATTTTAAATTTCAGGTTCTGGGATGGAGGTAACAGTGTCTCCGTTGGACTGCCAGTACTGAACTACTGAGGTTTTTTGGACAGGTGTGTCCAGCGGGATATGCCATCTCAGTATCCTGCTGAGGTTACAGAGATGTCTCTCACTGGTACTGCTTTCCAGTGTGTTCCTGACGATTCACAGTAAGGAGAGAAAACTGGCCATTGATTCCAGGATTCAGTGGGACGTCCGGTTTCACTAGGGGTGGACAGCATTTCCCAGAGTTCACTCCAGTCATGGGTGAGCTGGAGAGAGCTGTCAGAATTACTGTGTTAGAAATGTGGAAGCTGACATTCTGTAAAGGCGAGATTAGAAGGCAGCTTTTGGATGGAGATGCTAATGAGCAGGGAAATGAGCCAGGCAGATAGAGAAAAGAAAAAAACCCTCTGTGTTAAATGTAATGAACTTAGATGCTCAGGGCCGTAATGACAAGGGAAACAATGCAGACAGGTCTGAGGGGAAGAGCAGAGGCCTTCTGGCAAATAGACTGCAGGCAGCCCAGTTACCTGGGCAGGAAGACCTGACAGTTGACTTTACTTCTCTAGAGACACAGGAGTTTGTTTTCCCCTCATCAAACTGGCATTTTTTTTTAATGGTCTAAAGGTTTTTCTCTTCTATTTTTTTTTAGAGGTGGGAGGGGCAGAGGAAAGAGAATCTTAAGCAGGAGCCAGATCTCACAACCATGAGATCACTACCTGAGCCAAAATCAAGAGTCAGATGCTTAACCAACTGAACCACCCAGGCACCCCTCTTCTATTTTTATTTATTGAATCCATAACGTAGTGATACTATAATAAGTATTATATCATAGAAGTGTATAAAGTAGTACATGCTATTATATAAAGCCAAAATAGTATAAAAATGAGTCATTTCCTCTTTCCCTTTAGAGGTAATAACCATTCTTAAACACCTTTAGAAAATAATTTTGAAAAGAGAAATTATTTACGGTTGCTTTTTTCCCTATGTCCTTTTCTGGTCTTTATAGAGAAACATACTTTTTATGACTCTAATTAAAAAATTAAAAAGTTTTAATTTTAGAGTCCACATTACTATCTTTTAAGTATTTTTTTTGAGAGCGCGAGTAAGCGCACATGCGTGAGTGTGGGGGCGGGGCAGACACAGAGAGAGAGAGAATCCCAAGCAGGCTCCATGCTGTCAGTGCAGAGCCCCATTCAGGTCTTGGTCTTGCAACCATGATATGACCTGAGCCGAAATCAAGAGTTGGATGCTTAACCAACTGAGCCACCCAGGTGCCCTAGAGTCCAAATTATTTTTATACATTATGATTAAGGTGATTAAACATTTTTTTCCATATTGCAGTTTAATCCTCACGATTGTTTTTTTTTTTTTTTTAATTTTTTTTTCAACGTTTATTTATTTTTGGGACAGAGACATATATACATGAACGGGAGGGGGCAGAGCAGAGAGGGAGACATTACCATTGCAGAAATGTGAAACAGGCCCAGGTGCTCTGTTTCATCAGCCTGAGCCCCGGATGGGTCGCCGGTCAACTCACGGACTACAGGACGAACAGGATCTGGTTGAAGTCGATGCTTTTGAATCGACTGCGCCACCCAGGCGCCCCCCCTCACGATTGTTTTAACGGCTGTATGATTATTGTATTTATTTACTATAAAAGTTCAGGTGTTGCTGGATGTGAATATGGTTTTCTTACTCTTGGTTTGAATTTTTTCCACTGTTTATAACCTCTGTTTTTCTTTTGAATTAACTTCCTTGGGATAAATTTTCAAGAGTGGAATTACTGGACCAAAGGGTTTGAGTGTTTTTCTGACTTTAATGTGTATTGTTAAGGGTTTGTTACGAGAATGGTCTCTTAATAAAACTTGCTTTATAGAACCCTTTGCATGGTAGCATATATGTGTCTCATGTTAGAAATCAGTTAAAATCTTTGCTCGTTTCAAAAAATTATATGTTCACTGTAATTTTTAAAGTTCAGAAAATATAAAAAATAAAATTACAAGTTTTACCAGAGGCATTCATCATTAATACTTTTTTTTTTTAAGATTTTTTTTTTTTTTTTTAAGTAATCTCTATATCCAATGTGGGGCTCAAACTTACAACACTGAGATCAAGAGTCATATGTTCCATGGACTGAGCCAGCCAGGTGCCCCAATACTTTATTTCTTTTCAGTTTTTAAAAGGTTATTTTGCACAGTTGAGGCACTACTGTATACATATTACTGTGTACTAGTCTTTGCTTATCATGGGTGGTTTTCTGCTATTAGAAATATTTAAATACTCATTTTAATAACTTTATAGCTATGTGTCATAGGGCTGTTGGCATGGCTTCTTTATCCATTTCCTTGATGTTGGGGATTCAGACTGTTTCCTTGTCAGGCCAGTGTATTGAATCTTAATGTAACAGTGTGGTTTCTTCCTTTCGGTGACGGGCCAACTTCCAGCGATGACTATGACTCCAAGAAACGCAAACAGCGGGCTGGTGGAGAGCCTTGGGGTGCTAAGAAACCACGGCATGACCTGCCTCCTTACCGGGTCCATCTCACTCCCTATACTGTGGACAGGTGAGTGGCAAGGCTGGGGTGGGGGCTGAGGCTCACAGCTGGTAACAGCTTCTTGTGTAAATGAAATACAGTCTATGCAAGAGACTGTGTGTATATGGGGTCATGTGCTTGGGACCTTTTTGTTTGTTTTTTTAATGTGACAGTTTTTTAATTTCTAAGTCTCAAATTTGGACCAGCGTAGCACCACTTACATGGGTTCCCTGATAGAACTTCTGTGATTTGATCACCAGAAATACTTCTGCCAGGTTATCGTTAAGGCTTACCAATTCAAATTCGGGTACCCAGTACTAGTTCTAATTCAAGTGGAAACTACAGATCGTAAGAGCCCTGGGACTCGTTTTCCAGGGAACCTCTCAATCCTTTTTCAAGTGCTGTACGGTGTATGAGGACTCTGGCCTGCAAGCCTACCTATCTCACTTAGCAACTCACTGAGAGAGGTAGATGAGCGATTCCAGATTCCATCCAGCAGTGGAGAGTCAGGGCTCCAGCCACTGCCCCAGTAGCAAAGTTCACTTAAGCCCGAGCTGAGGTGGGTGGTGGCCTCCTGGCTACTGCTCAGGGTGGAAGGGAAAGAGGGCTGTTCCCGCTCTACCTGGCATCACCGCTTCCTGTCCACGGGGCCAGGCAGGACCTCTCCTGTGCTCCATGCTGAGCCACCTGCCTCACAAGACAGTGTGGTCCCTGCATCAGCCCTGCATCAGGGCTGCATGTAGAGCCTCCTCACATCAGTCCAAATGTGACTGCGAACAATTTGCCACACACAGTGTGTCTTTTTGAATGTATATAGAAGCTTCTTGTATGTACTGTTTGGTATTTTGCTTTTTCACTTAATACATCTTGGAATTTCTTCCATGTTAACATTTATTAGGTTGGGGTTGCATTCTTTTCAGCAACTACACAATACTCCACTGAATGGACAGACACTTTATTTAGCCAGTTCTCCATTTTCACTTTTTAATTATCCTAAACATTGTTGTAGTGAACATTCTTGTACAAACATCTGTGTGAACGGGCACAAGTATTCTGTTGAGATCAGTTCCTAGAACTGGAGTAGCTGGCTCAAAGGTCTGATTTTAAACTTGGACATATATTGCCAGTTCTGTCCAAGAGGCTGTGTTGATCTACGTTCTCGCCAGTGGGGCATGAGGTACTTGTTTCCTCCTGCTGCAGCCGGTGTACCTTGTCAAACGTTTGGATCTTTGTCAGTCTCATAGGTGAAAAGTGATCCTCTGATTTGCATTTCTTTAATTTTAAGTGAGATAGAGCATGTTTTCACAGGCTGTTAAGTCTCTTTTCTTTTTCTGTTAAGTATCTGTTGATGTCAGTTTTCTCAGACTTGTCAACTTTCTGTTAGTCATTTGTGGGCTCCTCATATCAAGACGGTTGAGCCTTAGCTGTCGTGGATTGTAAATGTTTTTCTGTTTTTTCTTCTCCAGTTCGACTTTATTTTGCAATTAGAGGTTGAAGCATTTTAGTGGTCAAATCTCCATCTTTTTCTTTTCAGAGACGTCTTCTTTCCCAGGTTAGAAAATATTTTGCCCTTTCCCCTCCAAGTCTTTTATAGTTCCATTTTTTATTGTTTATTTTTTTGGTTTATTTATTTATTCTGAAAGAGAGCAGGAGAGGTGCAGAGGGAGAGAGAGAATCCTAAGCAGGCTCCACCCTGTCAGCATGGAGCCTGACGTGGGGCCTAAACTCATGATATGGTTCCATTTTTAAAAATAATTTAGCCTTGCCCAGTCTGGATCTTTGCTTTCTTCCTGCAGCCCCACCTGTGACTTCTTAGAACTCCAGCGCCGCTACCGCAGCCTCCTGGTTCCCTCAGATTTTCTGGCTGTGTGTCTGAGCTGGCTGTCAGCCTTTCCTCTGAGCCAGCCCTTTTCCCTCCATCATCCAAGCCGTATCCAGGTATCTTCTGAGAAGGAGCCAGCTCCAGACACTGGTGCTGAGCCCATCCCTGCAGACAGCGATCCCACTTATAGTTCCAAGGTAAGTGGGCTGAGGTCCTGCCGCTTTGTCCCGCTGTCGGAGGCTGAGAAAGCTCTCGAGTGTGTCCTTCACGCCGCCCCTGCACAGGTACTGCTGCTCTCTTCCCCGGGACTGGAGGAATTGTATCGTTGTTGCATGCTCTTTGTGGATGACATGGCTGAGCCAAGGGAGACACCAGAACATCCTTTGAAGCAGATTAAGGTAAGAGCTGGTGTCCGTGAAGCAGGATGCAGTCATTGATAATGTCCAGGCCCTGTCAGGTTTTCGGCAGCTTGGCTCCTATTCGCGAACTTGTAGAAACCAGCAGTCTCAGAACTGAAATACCACTACCACTCACTTCACCAGGACCGTATGGCTCAGGATCTTCTTGTCAGAAAAAGTTACATGGCTGGTTCACGTTCATGGGTAGAGAGATCCACCCCTCCCTGCTTCCCACCCTGTGTGGGGGATTCTTCACCACATCCTGCTGCTTTCACTCTCAGGGGTGTAGGCTGCCTCACGGGAGATCCAGGTAATTGGGTTTTTGTTTTTGTTTTGTGTTTTTAATCTTGGATCCATTTTTGCAGTTTTTGCTGGGCCGGAAAGAAGAAGAGGCGGTGCTGGTTGGGGGTGAATGGTCTCCCTCTCTGGATGGCCTCGACCCCAAGGGCGACCCGCAGGTGCTAGTCCGCACCGCTATCCGCTGTGCGCAAGCCCAGACCGGCATTGACTTGAGCACCTGCACAAAGTGGTGAGTGGCTGCCCTGGGCTTGTCTGTGGCTGGCCCTCTGTATTGGGGAGACTGTTCAGGAGGTCAAGTTCCTGTGCCTTTCTGACCTGTTAGCTCTCTTCTGTGTCCTAGTCCTACCTCATTCCTCCCTCTGGCCCTCAGTGACGGTCACCTTGGTCATGAGCATGACTAGGAATGTGTATGTGTGTTGAGGGCCAGCTGACCCTCCAAGGCTCGTCAGATGTGATCCCTCCGCCATATTAGCGGTCCTTGTTGCTTGTAGCACCTTGGATAGTAATTGTCTCCTTATTTGCAAGTCTCTCCATTGATGAACCATTTCTTGAAGACTTGGTCTCTTTTGTTTTTGTATTTTCAAAGCTTCGTATGCAGTATGTGCTCATTAAGTGTTGACTGAAGCACTTGCTTGTGAAGGTCATGGGTCAGTTCTTCCTTCTTCCTTTTGCTGTGAGCAGGTGGCGCTTTGCTGAGTTTCAGTACCTGCAGCCGGGCCCACCGAGGCGGCTCCAGACTGTGGTGGTGTACCTGCCAGACGTCTGGACCATCATGCCTACTTTGGAAGAGTGGGAGGCCCTGTGCCAGCAGAAAGCTGCAGAGGCAGCTCCCCCACCCCAAGAGGTGTCCGTGGTAAGACTGAGCCTTACAAATAAAGGGGCAGAGTAGATGCCCTGACCCCTGGGCCCAGGTGGTCACTGCTCTTGGCTTTTGTCACAGGAAGCAGAGCCAACAGAACAGGCAGCTGATGTATCAGAGCAAGCAGCAGACGCCTCTAAACAGAATGCAGAGAACCCAGAGGCCACCACACAGCAGGAAGTGGACACCGATCTCCCAGAGGCCCCTCCACCCCCTCTAGAACCTGCTGTCATGGCACGCCCTGGCTGTGTAAACCTGTCCCTCCACAGTATTGTGGAGGACCGGAGGCCAAAAGAAAGGATCTCTTTTGAAGTAAGTGTAGGAGTCTGGGGGGGGGGGGCTGTGCAGTAGGGTATCTGGGACGGCAGGGCTTGAACATTCCCCTTTTCCTGATGCTTGTGGACCTCTGCTGACTCTCCTACCAGGTGATGGTGTTGGCTGAACTGTTTCTGGAGATGCTGCAGAGGGATTTTGGCTATAGGATTTATAAGATGCTGCTGAGCCTTCCTGAAAAGGTTGTGGCCCCACCTGAACCTGAGAAAGAGGAGGCAGCTAAGGAAGAAGAAGCAGTCAAGGAAGAGGCTGCCAAGGAGACCAAGGATGAGGTACAGAGTGAGGGCACAGCTGCCGAGTCAGACGCCCCACCGGTGAGTACCTCTGCTGCCCTGCACGGGCACTGGGGCTGCACACAGTAGTGCTGCGCCATACCAGGTGCTGCTGGGGGGCCTCACGGGGCTCCTCTCACCACTCCTCTCGCTGCCCGTGTGTGCCTTGCCACCTGGCACGTCCTCGGGAGCAGGGCACCTCGCTCTCCCACCTGGCTGTGCAGCTAGGAGGTGGTGTGCTGAGGAGAGGGGAGGCGGGCCTGGCGGCGTGGTTGACCTGCCAGGGTGGCACAGAAGCCTCGGTTACTAATGCTGTGGGGAGGACGGGTGTTTGGGCTGCTTGATGGTTAACTAGAGCGCCGCATCTTCTTAGCCCTTTCTAAAGCACATAGGTCTGTTTCTTGCCTGATGCCATCAAATACACATATAATTTCTTACGGGACCGTGACTGACTCCCAAAGAAAACTCCGGGTGCCCTGGAGCCGCCCTGGTGTGCTCTGAACCCCACGTAATGAAGTGCAGTAAATGGGAGCGTGTGTATAAACCCCTTACCACGGTGCCTGAACACGGTTGATGCTCAACTGTTGGCTGTTCTAATTGTTAGCAGTTAGAGATGACCGTTCTCGTCCGGGTCTGTTTCTAGAAGGAGGATGGGCTTTTGCCCAAACCTCCATCTTCTGGGGGAGAGGAAGAAGAGAAACCCCGGGGTGAGGCATCTGAGGACCTCTGTGAGATGGCGCTTGATCCGGAACTACTGCTCCTGAGGGACGACGGAGAGGAGGAGTTCGGTACGTGCGGGCACCACACAGTGGCCTCCTGGCTCTGTGGCTGGACTGCTCTCCTGTTACGGCTGTGGGATTTGGGCCCGTGTGGTCCCTGTTCCAAGCTTATCTCAGGCTTTCTGCAGCAGGAGCCAAGCTGGAGGATTCTGAGGTCCGGTCGGTTGCCTCAAACCAATCGGAGATGGAGTTCTCTTCTCTTCAGGACATGGTGAGACCTCTCTTCCATCCCCCAAGAGTCCGTGAGGCTTATTAGCGAGGTCTCTGACTCATTCCTGGGAGAGGGAAACTTTTACCATTTGATTCCGGTTGACAAAAACCAGAATGTGGTTCTTGGCTCATGGAGTGGGGTGTTCATAGGATCGAGGGCACTTCAGTATCTCCATCTGGGTGAACCTGAGTGATGTATCTGATCTAGGAGCGCACTCACTTCCTCTGTGTGTAAAAGTGGCCTGGGGGCCTGTCTCCAGGCGGAAGGGTGCCCCGGTGTCATTAGGTCAGCTACGTCCTAGGCGCTTTAGCCACTGAAAGAACTCTTTGTAAATCTTGTCCATCCTCTTTTCTCTTGCAGCCCAAGGAGCTGGACCCCTCTGCCGTGCTCCCTTTGGACTGTCTCCTTGCTTTTGTCTTCTTTGACGCCAACTGGTGTGGCTACTTGCACCGGCGGGACTTGGAGAGGATCCTGCTTACCCTTGGGCTCCGGCTCAGTGCAGAGCAGGTGCCTTCTCTCACATCCTCTCCGCCCTTTCCAAGACGGCCTCCCCTAACGTTACATGCAGACACTGGACTCCTGTGGGTGGCTCAGAGAGCTCTAGTTCTAGGCGCTTGCATACCATGGGGGCAAGGGCTCGCGTCTTCTCATCAGTGGGTGTCTGGGGCGTATGTCTTCTGCAGGCCAAACAGCTGGTCAGCAGGGTGGTGACCCAGAACATTTGCCAGTACCGGAGCCTTCAGTACAGCCGCCAGGAGGGCACAGACGGTGGGCTTCCTGAGGAGGTGCTCTTTGGTGCGTCCTGGTGCCTGTAGCCTTCTGTGGAGGATGGGCGGGGCACGCTGCTTTCTCCTGAGAACGCTTCCTTCTATCTCTTTCTCGGCCCCTTCTAGGAAACCTGGATCTGCTACCTCCTTCTGGGAAAAGCGCAAAGCCGGGCGCCGCCCCCACGGAACACAAAGGCCTGGTGTCCCACAACGGCAGCCTGATCAATGTGGGGAACCTGTTGCAGCGCGCGGAGCAGCAGGACAGTGGACGGCTCTACCTGGAGAACAAGATTCACACACTGGAACTGAAGCTGGGTGAGTGGCCCGAAGCCGCAGGGACCCGGCACGCATAGGACGTGCAGCCGTGGGTGTGGAGATTAAGAGGGGTCCCTCCTTACGCTTCGGGCCTGTTGCCCTGTGCGGCAGTGCTTAGCTTAGCAGCGGTCTTTCTGCCGTTCCCCCCCAGAGGAGAGCCATAACCGCTTCTCAGCCACTGAAGTAACCAACAAGACACTGGCGGCGGAAATGCAGGAGCTGCGGAGCCGGCTGGCCGAGGCCGAGGAGACGGCGCGGACGGCCGAGCGGCAGAAGAACCAGCTGCAGCGACTGCTCCAGGAGTTCCGGAGGCGCCTGACCCCCCTGCAGCTGGAGATGCAGCGGATGGTGGAAAAGGTGAGCCTCTAAGGGCAGAGCCGGCCGACGGTCATTCGTCATTCGGGAGGCTTGGTTGGGGTGACAGGTGACAGCCAGCCAGCACGTCGGTCCTCCTGCCCTTGCGGGGCTTTGCCTCGCCTCGCCTTCTCCACCTACTGGTTTCTTGGGGTATCAGTTGGTAGCAGCTGCAGCCTGGTCTCCCGGGAGGAAGTGCTGCTGTCCTCCCATCTTGGCCCTCTCTCTTGAGTCCTGAGTCCTGATTCTCGTTCTAGGCGGACAGCTGGGTAGAGAAGGAGGAGCCGGCACCTAACAACTGAGGGGCCTGGTGCAGGAGCTGTCCTCCCGTGAGGTCAGCGATGGAGCCTGCTGACGTTCGAGCCCTTTTGGTTCCAGAAAGAAGCTGGAGCAGGACCTGGGAGCCACAGGCAGGGGTGGCTGACCCCTATGCTCAGCCTCCGTAGAGGAGCTCAGGCCATCAGGGTGGGGTCTGTGCTATGTGGGACAGATGCGTGAGGAACCCCGGTTCCACTTAACAACTAAATCCAACACCTTCTGCACCCCTCGAATGTCATTTTGCCCTCCACCTTGGGATTTTTCCTGGGGCCCTTTAGTCTTGTGCTGACTTTTCTCCTGTCCTCTTCCAGTTTAGAATAAGACAGGGGAGGAAAAGGCTTTTGAGTATGTCATAAGGTCTGATGCCAATAAACTGAGGAAACAGACGTGGACTCTGGCAGGGGGTAAGAGCCCTTCCTCTGGATGGCACAAGTCCTGCCAGGTACAGGAGCAGGTTCCTAGGGGAAGGGTCTTCCTTGGCCATCGCAGAAATGGAGTCTGTGCTGGCGAACTCTTGGTGTTGGGCTGTGTCTGCCAGAGAGCACTGTGCTCCAGCCACCCTGGACTTGCCAGAAGAAACCAGCACCTCCCCGTGTTCAGAATGTGGTATTGGCTCTGGCCCAGCCTTTTTCCCTGTTCCCCAGAAGTCTCGCCTCTTTCCATAATCCGTGGTTTCAGTTTGACTTTGTATATAAAGTTGGGTTTTTTTTTTTTTTTTTTTTTTTTTTTTTTTTTTTTGGCTTTTTGTTTTTTAAATAAACCAAAGTCAAAAACAAGCTAAGTGTCCTCCATAGCTCTTACCTTCTTCCTCTTCTAGGTCTCCCTGTGCTGCCCCCTTCCTTCCAGTCCTCAGCCTAGCCTCTGCTGGATGGAGGGTGCAGCATCTCCAGAAGGTGGGGCCGGGTGGCAGGAAGACGAGCCCCAGGGTGCTCTGCGTCCTGCCCCCTGCTGGTCAAGAGACTATGCCACAGGGGTGCTGTCAGCTCAGCAGAGGGCAGCACCACCCTGACACAAACCTGGGGTGGCTCTCTTCTCTCTTCAGTTACAGCACAGTAACAGCTGGCAATTTTATTGAAAACTTTACTTGAAAAAATAAAATTTCCAAATATTCAGGTGAGACAAACCCACTGTTATTGCTTTGAGGCCTGTGAATCAGGCTGTGACATTTTGTGTGGCTGACAGCTTATTTACATGAGCTGAGTCTGGTTTCCTAGGGAACCTACAAGGCTTGGGGTTCTTCTCTGCACTTGACCTAAGGGATAGAAGTGGGTGAAACCAGGTTTTATCATGCTGGGAGTCTGGGCTAGAGGAGAGGCAGTGTCTTGGGCCTCTCCCAGAAAAGAAGAGTCTGAAGGGGAACGGCAACGAGGGTGGGTGGACTCCCAAGGATGGGTCTTTCTTTGGAGGTAGGTGAGATCACGACCGTGCAGGCAAGGCTAAGACCTCAGGTGAGCGGACAGAGCCTGTGCCTTTGAAAGCTGGAAGCTTGCTCAGGTCCTAGGCCAGGCTGCCCTTTGGACGGTTCTTTTGGAAACAAAGCCCTTGGAGTGTTTCTGTGCTGCTTACCTGTCTGGGTTCTTGCTATGGGTGGGGAGGCAGCACCCTGCCTGGGGCTCCTGGTGCCAGGCTCACTGCAGAGGTCTCGTGAGGTAGAACAGGGGCCACTGCTGTCCCCATACTTCTCTCGGGGGAGAGCCTTTTGCTGGCTGTCGCCTGAGCCTAAGCTTAACAAGGGCTAAGACCAGAAAGGTTGACTTGTATCCCAGGAGTCTGAAACGGTGGCGGGGACTCAGTCATCAGCCACAATGGAGAGGGCTCTGAGCTCACTCAGTCTGGCCTCATTCTCCCTCTCCCGCTGCTCATCAGTGTGGCCAGGCTGGTCGAGCTGCTGGGTCAGGTCTCCGAAGATCTTCTGCATTTCAGAGTAGTACCCAACCTGGAGGCAGGGATGGAGAAGGAGGTTGGCAGGTGCTGGGCTCCTGGGGTACAAAGCCCCCTCAGCATTGCACCCCCTGGGTGCGTCCCAGAGGCCCACATGCTGCTTGTTCTCTTAAGCAGAGCGCTCAGGCTGGGTGGAGGGGGCTGGCTTCCACTCTTCCCTCCATCACTGCCCTTCCTCTCAGCCCATCTCCTGAAACTGCAGGGCAAGTAGGGAAACTGAAGCCACAGACCCCAGCCCTTCAGGAACGTCCACTGCTGCTGCCAGGATGGCAGAGGAGGGGGGGCAAGGGGGCCTTGGTGAGATGGATGGAGGCGGGGGTTCTGACTTTGGAGCCCTCCAGGCAGCTGAGGGGCGTTGGGGCCTGTGCCGAGAGATATAGGACAGTGCAGCCTGAGGCTGGCTGAGGGCACTGGCAGGACCCTCCTCGAGTCCTGGGGAAGCCAGGGAGTCAGGCACTGACCCGAGGTGCTTCAAGAAGCTAGACCTTTGTCCATGGGGAAGGGGTGTGGCTGGACCCCAGAACCCTGAGAGTCTTAGAGGTAAAGGTGAGAAAGGTGACCCCCCCCCGCCGCATGTTCCTTCCCAACCTGTCCCATTAATCACGCTTCGGCTGTTTGGCTGGAAAGCAGGGTTCGCAGACCAGCTTGTTTCTGTGTCCCTATGTGTGTAGGCACCGGGGCTGATGGGAGAGGCCTGTGGCAGTGGGGTGGGGGTGTGCTGAGGACAGGGGAGACCCCTCAGCAACTCTCCGATGGCTGAGGGCTGCTCAGACCAGGGGCCACTGCCTCGTCTCCACCTCCATGACCAAAGGCAAACACTTCCGTGAAAGTGATCCACACTATTCAAAACTCTATTCAGACACTGCTTCCACTCTAGACAGTAGAGTGCTGTCACTGGGAAGGCCAGGCCGAGTGGCAGGTTTGGTGGCAGGGCCGTGGCTCAGCTGCTTCTGAGGAGGGGTCTCTCATACCCCCACAGCTAGATTTCCACTGGGCTGAGGGGAGCTAAATGAGGGTCTCCAAATGCTGCTGTCCCCTGAGGGGACGGGGCGTAGACCAGGGCCGGGAGAGGGCAGGGGATGGCCTGCCCTACCCCCACTCCCCGCCCCAGAGCCGCACTGCGCAGGCTGAGTCACTAGGAATGCTCACTTCTCCAGTGACTAATGGCAGCGACAGCCTCGGGAGGGGGAGGCTGGTGCTGAGGAGGCAGTGAACAGTCCCTATCCACCCCGCTGCCCGGTTACGGGGCATCCCTACCCCCTAACCTCAGGTCTGGGCACCCTGGAGCTTCCTCCAGTGAGCAACAGAATGGAGGGGGCAGGGTAGCATGCAGGGGGCCGGGAGCAGGGGTGGTGGTGGCACAGGGAGGGAAAGCACAGGTCTCCTTAAACACATTCCTCCACAGCCTAGGCTGAGCCTCTGGAAGGAAGTCCTCGTCTCCAGGAGAATGCTCTGGAGGCAGGTGTGGAAACTCACCACCACCACCCCCCCC